CTCCATCCATCCATCCATCCATCCATCCATCCATCCATCCATCCATCCATCCATCCATCCATCCATCCATCCCTCCATCCATCCATCCATCCATCCCTGCCCAGAGCCCAGCCCAGCTCCCCTGCCCTCGTGTCCCCACAGCTCCCAGATCCACATCCTGCTCCTCCAGGGAGATGGAACTGCTCCCAGGAGGGAACGGCCTGGCGCTCGATCTGCAGGGACTTGGTTCATTTCTTAGAGTGCAAAATTAAAACCTGTCAAATGATAACTAGTCAAAAGCTCCATTTATTTTTATCAGCAGATTGCCTTAAAATTCAGGCAGTTGGCAGAGGTGCTAAATACTGGCACTGAGAGATCCCCAGCGGGCTTGTGAGAGGCTGCAATTAGCCAAAAAAGCTTGATTTAATCCCTTTCAATGTGGCCACTTTAACTCCATTAGCTTGTTTTGGTTTTTCAACAAGCACTTGTACTTAATTTTTTTAAAAAATCTAAAGCATTATATTAGAGTATTGCCTTTAACTGATAATTCTTGGGCACTGGGAATGGACACTGGGATCCAATACAATGGTTTTACTTGTACAAGTGAAAAATCAAGTTTTTATCTACAGCTACATAAAAATTTATGTCTTGCATGTCAGCATGGGCTGAATACAAGACTTTGGAAGGATTTCCTTGACACACTGTTAATTTGCATTTTATATGCTCTGAAATGAAGGAGTGTAANTGAGCTCAGGAGGATTTGTGAGGGTTCAGACCTGGTCAGGATGAGCCCAGGAGGATTTGTGGGAGTTCACACCTGATCAGGGTGAGCTCAGGAGGGTTTGGGGCATTTCACACCTGGTCAGGTGAGCCCAGGAGGGTTTGGGGCATTTCACACCTGATCAGGGAGCTCAGGAGGGTTTGTGAGGGTTCAGACCTGGTCAGGATGAGCCCAGGAGGGTTTGTGGGAGTTTACACCTGATCTGGGAGCCCAGGAGGGTTTGTGAGGGTTCAGACCTGATCTGGGGGAGCCCAGGAAGATTTGGGGCATTTCACACCTGATCAGGGAGCCCAGGAGGGTTTGTGGGAGTTCACACCTGGTCAGGGAGCCCAGGCAGGAGCAGGAGCACACCCAAGGACAGAGCCCCTGAGCTCCTGGGCACAGAGCAGGAGTGACACTGAACAACCTCAAACCTGCACTATGGACAAACCAAAGGCCTGCTAACAGCCCTAAAGGTCTGAGAGCCACTGTGACCCCCTGAGTAAGCACATAATTAAGTAGGGTGTTTTTAAGACATGTTTAATTAGGCCCCCAGCCCCTCCTCACCCCCCCTTCCCCAATTATGTACCATTTCCCCCAGAGATACACAGCTCTGTTAATTATGTAAATAAGTCATGCACTATTCCCTGAAAGAATTATATTTCTGTGAAATACTGTTCATCCATTATCAATAAAAATAAATACAATACATATGATTTGCCATTAAAAATAATTTTTAAAAGCTAGATGATTTTTAGTGTTTTTCCTGACTGAAAATACCTGAGAACTGAAGTAAAACAACTCACAACTGGAGTTATGTTTCTTCTACACCTCAGATGGTCAGCCAAGCATTAAACTAGATAACACATACAGAGCCATAGAGAATAAACTTTATATGCAAACTATTGATACCCTAACAGAGTAATAGAAACAATGGTGTTAAAATTAACAGAGTGAGATTATACTCAACAAAATGCACATTCAATTACTTTGGATTGTAAAGAAGGCATTTTGATTTGAAGACCACATCTGAGATATTTGATATCAGACCCTGCAAATCACAGTGAGTGACACTGAGGTATTTCCTTACCCTCTCACACTGACAGGCACAGTGCAGCCTGCCTCCAGTGGAACCAACACCTGCTAAAGGTACCTGACTCAATAGCTGAAAATTCAGATGTGCATTATAGACAACTACAATTAATACAGTAAAGGTTAGCTTGGATTACCAAAGAGGGAAGGAAAAATGCTGAAGTATCTCAAGTTTCTGACTGAATTATAACAGAATTCTCTTAGTAAAGGAGTATTTGACTTTTACTTCCCCTATACGTGACTTGAGAGCTCATTTAAATGTTTGTCCAACTGAAATTTCATGGCACAAGAACAACAAACTCAGAGTTTGGGAAAAAGGCCTCTTGGTGCTGACAGCATGAAAGTGCTGCTGTCACTCATAAAGGAGGCCAGGAATCCTGAAAACCTGAGTTAGCACTAATTGCCACATGCTAATAAATATAAAATCACAAAGAGGAGCTTCTGCATGTGAACTTCATGGTCTGAAGGTTACCATTTCCCAAATATTCCAGATCCTCCTAGAAATGTGAGTGGAATTATGGATCTGACTTTCCACTTCAGGAACACCTAACAGAATATGAAATTCTTCCATCACGATGGTAATGAAGCTCAAACTCCATCCTCCCACAGGAGATTCCACAAACAAATCCAGTAGGAAACAGATCTGTGGAGTATTTATACTTGTTTTGGAACAATATGACAATGATCCATCACACCAGTGTTTATATTTCAGTTTTTAGAGTTGATGAAAGAGAAAAATACCTGACAATGTGGAGTTCAGGGAAGACATCTATCCCCAGTCTGAGCCATACCAGATCCATCTCCTGAGCCCCACAACCTGCCAGGTTTGCAGCCAATCTCCTCCCTGTGCCACACAAATCAGCACTTGTGCAGAAATACAGGGATCAGTGCTTCTTTTTGCCTTGGACAGTACCTGCTGATACCTCAGTTTCCCACCCTCAGAACAGACCATGGCTCTCCCACTCTCAGTGGAGCATTGAGGACAGAGACATGACTCACGGAATATTCAGCCAGGGCTGTGATGTGGACAGACAGAACAGTTTTGGGTATTTTTAGATGGCAAATAATCAGTCATTTACACAAAGGTAACTCTAGAGGGATGTGCCAGGACTCTGTCACAACCAAAGTGCCCCTCACTGACCTGCTGGGGGAGGAAACAGCACGGGAGAGAAGCTCATTCTCAGCCCAGAATGTTGTAATGGAAACACAGAAATGGCTCTGCTGAACCTGGAACCACTGCATTTGCTTCTTTCTAGAGAAGCACTGCCAACACCTGATGGCCACTCTAGAGTCCAAATGGAGCCTGCACGAGTCACAGCCCAGGGGCAGTGTGTGGCACCCCTGGCACAACCCAGGAGCAGTGCCTGGCACCCCTGGCACAGCCCAGAGTCAGTGTGTGGCATCCCTGGCACAGCCCAGGGTCAGTGAGTGGCACCCCTGGCACAGCCCAAGGTCAGTGCCTGGCACCCCTGGCACAGCCCAGGGTCAGTGTGTGGCACCCCTGGCACAGCCCAGGGTCAGTGTGTGGCACCCCTGGCACAGCCCAGGGGCAGTGTGTGGCACCCCTGGCAGAGCCCCCTGTGCTCACCTTGCCGTCGAATTTGGAGTACTCATTGAAGGGGTTGTTGAGCTGCAGTGGGCACTGCTCCAGTCTCACAGAGAGGATGGACTGCTTCCCAGAACATGGGGATTTCACCCTAAAATTCTTCTTTTCGAACAGTGAGCTCAGCTCCTCTGCTGCAGGTCAGAAAAGAGATTAGAGGCATGGTGTGAGGAGATGTACAGAGGCTGCTGCTCACCACACAGAGATAACATCATAACAGGGAGCACAAAATCAAATAAATAAACCTACAAATGCTTCAGCAGGGCAGGATCTACCACCACTCTTTCATAGCCCAAAGACATGAAACCATTAAGAAGCCTGAGTGATGCCCCTGTTTAGGCTGAGAAAAAGGTGAGTTTTTCCTGCACAGAGAACAGACCAGATCAGTGTGAGAGGCAGCTGAGTCAGAAAACAATGAGGAGAAAGGCACATTCCTGGCCTCTCTGCTTGCCCACCTTCTCCTAAAGGAGCAGGGAACAGGAAGGGAAGGAGCTGCTGCCCCAGGAGCAGCAGAGCTGGCCCTGAGCCTGCAGCCTGTGGCACAGCAGCCCTGCCCTGCAGTGACACCCTGCCAGCTGCAGCCTGGCACCTCCCCAGGACAGCACCAGCTCTGCATGTGCCACTCCTCATGGGGAAATGGATAATGGCTCTCCTCACCAAACCAGCACCACCCCAGGCACAGCATCAGCTCTGCATGTGCCACTCCTCATGGGGGAATGGGTATGGCCTCTCCTCACCAAACCAGCACCACCCCAGGACAGCATCAGCTCTGCACTTTCCTCATGGGGCACTGGGTATGGCCTCCCCTCATCAAAATATCCAACCTGAAACCACCATTCCAGATCAACAGTCTGAACAATAAAAACACAAAA